GAAATCTCGCGCTTTAGAATATTCTCTTACCTATAAGGGCCGATCATAAGCGTGCGCACGTCTATTAATACACCAAGAGACTCTGTTTATACTTACCTTTGTCCAGCAGCTTGCTGCTGCTGCGGTTTTCGTTAGTCAGTTTCAAACGCCCTTTTCGGTAAGTCGCTTTGCGCTCGTGTTATAATTGTCACATGTATCGTTTTATGTAAGATTATTGTAACGAAAACGATTCACAATTTCGATTGACACGTAATTTCTCAGTCTGACTCAAAAATTAGTTCTGCCTTTTTTTGTCTTTCATGTAAGCAAGTATTATGACTTGTTAAAGTAGAATTAAATAGAGAGATTGTTTTTTATAATAAACGGCTGAAGTGTTTAAAAGTGTGTTGTGCATTTATTATTGTGTCTTTTCATTACATCCGTTTTCACGCTCCCCCAAATCCGGCGTGCGATACACAAAAATATACAGTCCACTATCTTACTGAGTTCGATTTCGAACATAGTGAGGTTCATCTAGAAGTAAAAAGTGATTGAGCTTCCTCTCCTATTTTTAGTGCTTCATCGGGTTTTTTATAAACTGCATCACTATTGTAAATTGCGGTTATAGTTCGATGTGTATAACTATGTAAATCTGCAAGTATGTGCATTTCCTTGATGCTTTTTTTATTCTCTAATTGTTCAATGACTTTATGTAAAGGATAGTTTATGTTGGCTCTAGTCTTTATTTTTATTTTATAATCGGGATTTACTGTGCAGCCTGAAAGGAAAACAGTATCAAATTACTATTAATTATAAGTCCATTTATAACTTTTGGGGTGTATGGCGTGGGAGTATCAAACTCCATGTTTAAATTGTAGGTGTAGCCTTCGATTGTTTAAGTATTTTTGTTCTTCTTCAATTTCTACATAAATTTTAGTCAGTTCGTGTTCTTTTGGTTCTTGTTTTGTGGTTACTCGTGGTTCTGCGTTCAGTGGGTTGACGGTGCGTTTTATAAATTTTTTCGAGATACTACGTTTCATAGTCTTTTGGAAACAACTTCTTGTTTTGCTGATGAGTATTAAAACATTTTTTGTTTTTAAACCTTTTTTACTTTCATGAGCTGAGGATGCAAGGGTTATGAAACGAGCAGAAATTTTTTTTAATGCTCGAAAATTTAATGAACACTTATAATTTTCTCGCTGGATTATCTTGCTACAGTTGCGAAAAATCTCTTATTATTGGCATGGGAGTGATAGGAGATTAAAAAAATAGACTCAACTTTAAACAATAGAAAATCTGTATTTAACAAAATTCTGTACAAGGATATTGGAGCAAGAGCTTGCTACGAAGAAACACGACTCTCAGAATGTAATGTAAAGGGACTAAGCTCAAGACGACGACGAAGCAAGTCGTTTGAGTTGGCCTTGGTTGTGGTATCGCAAACAAGTTAACTATAAAAGGACCCAGCTTGAAATGACGACGAAGCTAGTCGCTCGAGTTGTTCTTGGATGATAACGCCAACAACTTTACTATAAAAGGGCTCAGCTCGAGACGATGATGAAGCAAGTTGTTTGAGCTGGCCTCAAAGAGGCAGGCTGATCAAATTACCTCTTTTGATTTGTCAATAAAATCCCCTCTACTCGAAAAAGTTGTTCGCTATATCTTACGTACAACAATTGAGCGGTGATGAGAAGGCTGCCCTGATCATGACACCAAACGTTGCATGCTTAGCCAGAAAAAGTATTGTAGTGACTTTGATTATCACGATCAACTACGCGGGAGCGACCTGTTACTTCGAAGGTCCGTATACAAGAAGAAGGAGCTTAGCCGAACATGCTAGCTTGTCAGCAAAAAAAGTTGGTGCTTAAAGCCGAAGAGGGAGCATCCACACTTTTCGGAATAAGTGTTTTTAAACATTCGAGTTAGCAACCAAGTGTGTGTGCTCCTACTACACCAGGCTTCCATTTCCCTGTACGCCAACGTTAAAGGGCGCCTTATGCCGACCACGACAGCCTTTTTTTGCTATATTCACTCTTACGTGAACAGTATTGCTATTATAATAATAATAATTATGATGTCGATAATGACATCAATGATGATAATAATGACTGTGATAAAATGATAATTGTAATGATGATGTTTATAAAGATAAACATGGTGATAATAATAATGTTGATAATAATGACAACGATGGTGATAATAATGATATAACTTATGATGATAATACTGATGTTGATAATAATAATAATAATAATAATGATAACTATGACCTTGGTGTTAATGATGATATTGATGATGATAATGATAATGATAATAATAATGATAGTAATGATAATGATAATAATGATAATAATAATTGTAATGATAATGTTAACANTCTTACGTGAACAGTATTGCTATTATAATAATAATAATTATATTAGTTTCAATGATGTTACGTATTAAAATAAAAAGAAAAGTTTGTTCCTCCTCTAACTTTCGGGTTCGTATTTTTGCCATTTGATTAATTATATTTTGTACTTTTAATTTTTGATATGTTCATGCTTGTTTATTAAAGTTAAGTTCTCAAATCAATTTTACAGCATAATGAGAGTCATTAATGTCTATTAAGGGTTCATGGAGTACAGTTAAGTTCGAGTTCACTTCTACTTGATAGGTATAATATATCTGAGTGATAATCTTATGTTCACTGGTTAAGGTTATTTTGTGTATTTTTCCTGTAATCCATCATTTATTCGTAAAAGACCTATACCCTTTACTCTTCCTTCTCGATCCATTTTATTAGGACAGATAATATTTAATTCTTCTTTATAAGGTGTCGAGAATAACCATGAACTATCAGCTGGTAAGTTAATTCATTGGCTTCCGGTTTTTGTAGTGAAAATAATCTCACAATATTTAAATACATCTGTTTCAGGTTGTAATAACATAAGAATTTCACATTTGTTCATAGAATAGGGTTCTTTCAACGGTTTCATAGCCGATCATATGTAACCGTATACAGTTTTATCATCACGTTGTCCAGGTTGTGGTGTCATGACTGGATGTAGTCTATAAAGATTATAAGGGGATCGATCTACAAGTGGTAAATGTAATATTACTATGGTTCTATTTTTTTGATGCACAACATATATTTTACATAGAGTGCTTATTTTACCAACATAAAGATTCTCTCTTGGTACTACGAATTCTAAGTTTCCTGCTAAGCTCTTAACATCCTGAGTTGTTGTTGTGTGATGTGATGAAAATGGCTGGTCAGGGTTATTTCATTATGTACGACTCTTTTAAGAGTCTTAAAATTTTATCATAGAGAATAAATGTAATAGAAGATAGAACAAAAATCAAAAATTCATTTATTTATGCAAGTTATAACTAAACACACCTATACTATAGGTTTGACACTGACTCGATGTTTTTTGCTTTTAAAGAAATTTTCTGTAATTTTTCTTTTGTTTCTTTTATGCTCTAAATTTAGCAATAAAAATATTCTCTTTCCATTCTCACTAGTTACATTTAAAATATTCAGTCTAAAATACTCTATACAATGAGAAGAAAAGAAAAAAAAAAAGTTTAAATTGGTATTATATTTATATAAGCAACTACGCCATCAAGAAATCATGCATGTCCTTACGAAAACAAAATACGGTTTCTGTTGGAAGACGCCGTGCGTTACGATTGGCTTGCAACAGGCCCGCTTAATAATAAAATAAAAAGTGAGTACTCTGTATACATACATTTTATTATTATCACAAATGCAGTATTTTTGAGCAAACTATTGACGCACTATTTCCCAGATATTTCGAGGATACCAAGTCTTAAACCTATGTTTCTTATTTCAGTTACCGTAAGTCTATAGTTTCAATGATAAAAGATCTTGAATAACCTACATGTATTTTGAGATAATCAAAATATTTGAAACTATATGAACATCTCGTTTATTTAATAAAAGAAAAAAATTTTGTTTTTTTATTGATCACCAGGCTCAAAAAAGGGTAATTTAATTTAATATTGAACAAAAAATTTGATTTAACATTAAAAGAAAAAAATACTGCATTAATAAAAAATAAATAAATAGTTATAATTGCATGAGTGAATGAAAAATTGTATGCAATAGCTCTACCACGGCAGTCCCCGAGTGCCACTTGTCTGGTTTTATTTTCCTTTTTTTTTTTTTTTTGGTGTAGGTAAATAAAAGCATTTACACGATTTGTCTCCTGATTCGAAAATTTGTTGAATATGTAAAAGAGCTATATTAACTTTATTGTTGTTAATGTTGTCATGAAATTCTTAAGTTTTTAATAATATTGGGGGTTGGCACGTGAACCGTGCAGAGGAGCGAAGCCCTACAATTTATATATGTATATAGTCATACTTGACTCTATTGGCACGATCTCTTTATCGTGTCTTGTGGTTGCTTTACTCTTATTTAAGTTATATTACTTTTTGCATTGCACACAAATCTTTCTCCTTACAATTATGCACTCTAATTACTGCAGAAATGGTATTTTTTTTGCTCCGATCACCAAGATCTTTTACCATGAGTGAGGTCAAAAACCTATAAAATACAACTAGTATGAGGGGCAAGAAGCAGTGGTTGTCTTGGTAAATTAGCAGTAATAACACCAATTGATATTGAAACTTTATTTCGACAGTAAAATCTCGTATACATTAAAGTCTTTCTCTTTGTATTTCTAGCACTTAGAATATCTCTCTCTCAGTGCAGCATACGCGTTATTACATTCCAGTCCACGCGTCAGCTTGACTCACTCTCTCGATGCTGTGGCTTTACGCTTGCCCTATCTGTACACCTAAGGCCTCATTAACAATACATTCTACTTTGACAATGACATTGAAAGGAAAGTTTAAAGAAATTAAGAAAGTCACATCATAACAGTTGGGGCAACTCAGCACTTTCGTGCAACAAGGTTGCTGACCACTTGTTTTATTTTGTTGACACGTTTTAGTATATGTCAGCCAGTTAAAAGGTTTTAAAACACAAAGGGGTATGGGTGCGTAAAACGTTACACTGGAATGTGCCTGAATGATTTAAAAAGCTGTCGCAGGCTTTTTATAGCGATTAAATTATTTGCCAAAGAAGTTGTGGTAAAGAAGAAGTCTCCTAGAATTTGAAGAGAAGTTCTGTAGACCATTTCCGCTGGCGACGTTTTTGAACCTTCCTTGTAGGCTATTCTGAGACCGAGGAGAACTGTTGGTAGAGCGTCGGTCTATGGAAGCATCGAACATTTGAGATCGACCTTTAGACGGGCAGAGTTGATATTAACGCCAATTTAATTAATATCAGGATCTTAAAAATTCCTACAACTTTAAAGTTGCAACGCGGCTGTTCAAAAAAGATGTCAGAATCTATCTAAACCGGTTAATTACGATTTACAGGGAACTACTCGTTGGACAGAAAAAAAAGTTGTATAAAAAAAATTACAACAGAAAGATAAACAAAATATTTTTCTTTAAATTCTAATCAGTTCATTAGTTTACGTGCAAATTGCAAGAAACCGTATTTTTAAGTCATTTTTTCCAAATTCGACAACTCGCATTCTAATCAATATCAAAAGCTAAAGTTTTGGCTGCAGCCCTCCATGGAGGTATGTAGTATATCCCATAATATCTACACTTAACTTCAGCTTAATCAGACGTGAAATTTTTTTAAATCGCAGCAAAAACCAAAAAAGGTCTATCCGTAAAACAGCTATAAAAAAGTCATTAGCGATGGTGTTGCAACGTACATAAATTCTTCAAACGTGCTTTTATTTTTCTGAACTTACTTTAGAATACGGCAAAGTTTCATTAAATTTCATGCTGCAGAACTACTGTAAATGTTCACTGCAAAAAAACTGAGATTGGGATATCGGCGCAGCGGTGTGGCAGCGGCCGTTTAGCTACCATAGGCCCAACTTCACTTGAATTGAAATTGATACGTGCAGACAAATAGTTTTCAGTCAACTCACTATCCGTGGTAAACACCATGGTCTATAGAAAACCCTTTGATCTTCAACTTCTTTGTGTGTACCATAAATAGAATACATTCAGACATGCACTGTATCAATGCTTATGTGGACATATCATACTGTGGTTTAGTAGTTACAGAGTCTGATTCAAATGCTTAAAAATGAATGTTCAATTACTGGCCATAGCAGATCTTTTTTGATGTGAAAATTATTCTTAAAATGCCTCTATATCTATTACCTTAAGAAAAAAAATGTTTATAAAAATAAAAACTATATCTTTGTTCTCTGATACTTACTTGTATTTATATATATATATTGCTGCGCAAATGTAACATACTATACGTATTTTTCTTTACGTTTCTTTGTTTAATAGTAAATTTTAATATTTTCTGGTTGTACTACGTAGCATGGAAATTTTTACTAAATTGCAAGTATGTCTTAGCTCTTCTAAAAAATAGTAGTTTTTATTTGAGCTGTAACTCTTTTTCTAACACAACTTTCCTCAATGTAATGTTATTGCTTATTTAGTATATACTCCTCTTAATATGTTACTAAGCTAAGCGTGTAATACTACGAAATTTCCTTATGACATCGAGCACACATTCTATGCAAGTAATAAAAACTAATATTCATGTTAAAGAGATGTTTCTATATAAGTATCTATTCTGACCATTCAAAAGCGTATATAACTGTACAAGCCCTAGTAACTCAACTTGCCAAATAATCGCTTTTTTTCAATTTTTGCGCTCTCTTTGAGATTTGCAGTTAATTACATAACTAAGTGTTTATACTTTCAGATCCTAACTGGTTCTCATAAGTTATCATCTTCTTCTAATATTTATACATATGTACCATGGTAAGAAAAAGACAATGTACACTTATTTATGATATGCAAATACTATACTCATAGGTTAGCTAGTAGTTCTTGAAGATGAGTATTGTATATTTTTGTTAAGTATGGAAAAATAAATGTAATAGAAGATAGAACAAAAATCAAAAAAATTTTTTCTTACTTTGGTTATGAAGGGTGATTCGGAGATAATTTTTGATTCCTGCCTTATTAATACAAATACTACAATTGTCTAGATTTATATAACTATTTATTTAACATTTAGTTGATTAAGAAATAAAATTAACTATAAAAATAATATCTTAACACGCTGAAGAATAAGTCAAGCCAAATTTTGGCAAAATTAATTAAAAAGGCAAGAATTTAAGGCAAAATATTAAAAACCACATGCTGGCCACATAAGGTATGATCTATTTTTTAACTTTTTTTCTAAAATTTTAATGAATTTCGCTAATATTAAGCTTTTTATATTTTATATAAATTAAAGAATGTGTAATAAGAGCCAAGACAGAAATAATTAAAATTAGAAAAAAAAATAAAAATAAAAACTATTAAACTAAAGAAAAGAAGGATAGTAGTAGTAATAATAGAAGTAGATTCTTTAAATCTGTGAATTCCCCTTGGATAAAAATAAATAAATATTGTTTTAAAGTTATTGTTATAAGCAACTTACATCTTAATAAAAGAAATGCAATTTTAAAATATTAAGCATTGGTTCAAATAAACTATTACTGTTTACCTTAAAATAGTTATATCGCTGTAGAGTCATGCAAGGCTCAAGCATTGACGAGTTAAGCTGGTAGGGCTGAGGGCAGGGATCGTCCTTTAACCATACAAATACATTGCGTTGTACAGCGTCTGGTGGTGTGTTGGTTGTATTAGTAATGATATCCCACATTGTAACACTCCTGATGTCCTCGATCTCACTTTTGATAAAAATGCTGTCAACAGAAATGTGTTGAAAACTTTATCTGTGGTATGTAACGAACGTATGCACAATTAATTAGTCGAATTTGTGATTGTACTGTAGAAGAACTCAATCAGTTAAAAAAATTAATTACTTATTTAAAAACACTGAAAAAATAGCAAGATTTAACTTATTTGTATCAATTAAAATAATATAAATACTTTTTTTGGTGTTCAGGCAGAAGTATAAGTAAGGAGATGTAATTATGCATCCAAATATGCAACAAGTAACTAATTAAGGTACAATCCTCTTAATCCTAATTACTTTTCTACAGCTTATTCTCAATTTCTCTTCATCCATTCGATAAAATTATAAGTGATTTACTTTTTATAAGGACAAACATTTGAGAAGGCCAGACTACCACAATTCCACAATAGTACTAACAAATTTCAAAATTATTTGACGCTGTGGTTACAAAGTTGAACGTAACACAGCTTTGAGTTGATGGTCTCAGCCTATTATTAGTTGTTTTTTGCCACCTAATCTGAGCGAATAATAGCCCGAAAGTGTCCATTTAAATTCTCAATTTCAATATCTTATTGTAAGCCTATTTTAACCTTTATATATTAGTCAGTTTTTTAAATCTACTTCTAGAACAGGTGAGATTTCCTATTTACAAAGCACAATTATACTTATCAGATCTAACTCCTACTTTACTTATATATCTTACAATTAACATTCCCTGACGTAACTCAACCCTTAGTTAGTCTTTGTTAAAAGTATCTGTTTTTATTTGCTTTTTAATACGTATTTGCTGTGTGCAATAATCTCAAACAGCAAATCCAGTATGCAAAAGAAGTAGTGATCCCTGATAACAAGAGTAACAAATAGCTTTTTCTGGATTGTGAGCTCCACTTTTTTTTGCACACACCCGACATTCATATTCAAGATGTTTTATTTTGTTTAAATTAACACAAAATGTTTTTTTTTATTATATAGGCTCTTAACTTATTCAACTCACTTAATTGTTGAATGTTTCAATAATTCAAATTACAATAAAAGTATTATTATTAAAGTGTAAATATCAAAGCATGCGTTAAGATCGTAATCAGCTCACATTAAAATAGATCAAAATGCGAGGAAAAAAAATTTCAAGTATCATTTAGGAACATCTGTCACTACCATTTCTTAGATGTACGACGTTCAGTGACTTTTGTGTTATTTGATCTTTTTCCAAATAAACCGCTCTTAATTAAAATAAAATAATGGTACGAAACTTTTTTAGCAAAAAAATTACATAATGTAACATATATAGAAATTGTACAAAAATTTTAATATTCATGGTTGTGGTTGGGAAACTCAAAATAAACCACAACTTTTCAAAACTTTAATCTTACGGTACCGGTACACATCAAACAATTAACTATATATATCACTGGCATAAGCTTAAGTTACTTTATTCTAACTGTAAAACGCAATAACCGTAGAACCTTACAATAGTTTCGTTACATTTCTTGTTAGTTTAGCCTTAAAAAAAAAAAATTTTTAGAAGGAGGCTTTGTATTTATTAAAAACTATCAGTATAAGCTAAAATTGTCGTAATAAATTTCTAAAAACATGTGTTCAACCTTTTTTGATAAAAAAATAACTTTTTTTGAATTTCCTATCAGAATACTGTGCAAAGACAGAGTTGAAATTTGTTACTATTTTATTGTAAGGTAAAGTAGTAGTAAATATAGTAAGTGAACATAACCTTGTAATACATATCCACGAACAATTTCTTATTTTTAAACATTAAGCTAATCTACTTATCGATCTAATAATATAGCAAATGTCTTTTTATGTTTTGTGTGATTTAGTAAAAGGTAAAAAAAAACTCTACTTGTTACAATACGTAAGTTACTTTAAGGTAATATTAAATTAATTTTCTATTTAACGATTAGATTATACATGTTTCAAATCTTCTCAAACCTTAATGATGGTAGATTTTTTTATCTTCTGATATTTTCCTATACTTTTTATTAATTAAAGACAGTAGAAGATCAATAAAGAACTCCTTCGTTTTAAATAGTTCTACTGAAGAATAGATAACTGTATTATATTCCGAACTGCTTATATACATAGTAGAATTCATTTTAGCTGTAGGATACAAAGCAAAGTTTATGAAGTGAGTATCAAGATAAAGGAATTTGAATGTGCCAAATTAAACCTCTATATTACATCTGAATATAGTTAATATTGTTGTCAGATGAAAGAATAAGTTCTCATTAGTTCTTAAGTCTTTAAGAAGTTTTGTTTGATTAAAAATGCATGTTCTAGCAAGATAACTAATATTCGCGATGCCTTTTTCTTAACGAATAAAAAATATTTGCATGGTGCTGTAGTGAAAATTACGTGAAGTGAAATAAACTACAGACACAAGGATTTATATATTTAAGAAGAAGGCTAAAATGAGATTTGTTGTATACTATTATTTATAAACTGTATGAAGCACCTAGTAAAAGTGTCACTGTGTATAAACTTGAAGCTGAACTAAGCGCTTTCCAATATGCAAAATTAATTAATCTGCCACAGACTCAACACTTAAGGATTCTTTAAATCTGTGAATTCCCCTTGGATAAACGTAATTTTCAGTGAATGAAAAATTAATTCTGAAAATTTAAAGTAGCTTACCAAATGTAGTATTTACGTCCTTAATTTTTTAAACTCATACAAAACGCGTGTAAGAAATAAAAAAAAATATTTTATAATGAAGAAAGCCATTTATGCTCTTATTCTGTAGGATTTAAGAATCTCTTAAGATGCCTTTGGCAACCAAAAACGCCGCACATACCGTCATTACCATCTCACTGAGATTTCTTATTGTACTTTCGTAATTTATAACACGTAAATAAAACTTCCAAAAAACACGTCCTAAGAAAAAGTATATGTTCTTCGATATGTAATTATTATTTAACAAAGATAATACGATGCGTGTGTATGTGATCAAGTCATGAATATTGCTTTTCCTTCTGAATGCGCAAAATGTTGTTTTGCGCCTGGTTAATTACTGTGCACCTTAAAGTGCTCTTTATATAACTCTGGGCTTGGGAAGTAAATAGTCTTTCTTCCTATGTGCACAAAGTGCAATTGTCGTTTCATGCCTTTCGTAAGAAAAACGATATACTTACGCGTCTTGGGCGTAAAAGTTCAACAACAATACTCTTCAAGCTCTCAAGTTAGTACTTAATGCTCAGTGAGGTAATCTACTATATTATTCTTTACAGATAAGATCGTATGGTTAAGGCTCTCATCTTTTGTAAGAAGAATCGCGTGGTTAAACCACGAACATTGTCTCATACTTTATCTTACTAAGTACTTCATAAGAAAAATTTAAACTTAGAGATGAAGTCTAAGGTCAGCATGTACTGGCTAATTTTTCCGATTATTAACTGGCAACCAAAAACTTTTGTTATTATTCATGAACATTGCATGAAAGCTATGACAACACATAGTACTCCACAATACTTCAGGCCAAAAGTGTCAGCCTAATTGGTAGAGAAAGTGCTCCCTGGTGTTTGACCGTAAAATTTCTGGATTCTTGATTTTAAACACAATATAATTATTTTTAATTACAGATTGTTTTGTATGAAATTAATTGAGTTTTCAAAATTATGCTTCTATACGGTCGTGATGCGCTTAGTATATCAACACTTTTGGAATTTTTACTTAAAGGAAAGATGTGACTGAAGTGGATTTCTTATTTTATTCGTTCTGTTGCCACATCTTTGTTTCACCTTACAGCCCCTACCAGTAAAAAACAAAATAAAAAGAATGCTAAATAATTTTTCTCAAAACCTAAAAAAATATTTTTTTTTAGCAGCAGATTTTCCATGTATTAAAACAATTTCTTAGTTTTTTTCAAAGTTTCTAAAAAAATTTCAACCAATTATTAATGGTTTATACATACAAGGTTCTCTCGATACAATACTTAATTTTTATTGGATTTTACGCTAACAATTTTTTCAATCGTAAGTTAGGTGATTTTTTGACTTACGGAAATTTATCACAGTTTGCGAGATAAAAAATGAGAGAGGTGGGAGGAGTAGACAGGAGCGCAAATATGCAGCACCGCTGCAATTATTTTTTCTATGTAAACATACTTGCATACACGCTTTTACAAAAAAATTGAAAGTTCTTTCCAGATAATATAAATGCAATTAATCACGATTCTTATACAAGGTTACATGTTTAATTAATATTTTATAAACTGAACATATAAAAAAAAGAACAGTTACACAATCGGCTTTTTTTGTTAGGATTTTTCAAGCTATTTTGAATAAACGTTTGATATTAATAATATCTGTTAAAAAAATCTGTCCAATCAATGTTCTGAAGGGACATTCACTGACATGTAATGACCCTATTAAAGATAAAGCGTTACTATAAGACGGTTTTTCTTAATCTTCTAGATACGAATGTAGTGGTGGTGTTAAATATGGACTGCGAATAAGTGTAAAAGTGCACGTTACAAACGTGACCGTATCATTACAGATCGAACAAGCGTAGGTATTAAGAAGTTGTATAGAAATCATTAAAATAATTAACAGTCTTATACAGGGTATCCTAGCAGCACGGCGTTCCATGGGTTTAGTTTTAACTTTTTTTGTTTACGTAATATTTCGTCAATATAAGTTCAGTAAACATTAAAAATTTTTTTAAAACCACACCAATTAACGTACGTATAGTCATCTTAATCATAATTGCACCAATTTTAAACACAATATCATTTCATAGAAGGTATATTTATACTCGTGTATTATCTGTTATAGAATTTTATAGAAGTAAAATCTTATATTTTGGTGCTCAATCATCCACTACTTTATTCTAACTGTAAAACGCAATAACCGTAGAACCTTACAATAGTTTCGTTACATTTCTTGTTAGTTTAGCCTTAAAAAAAAAAAATTTTTAGAAGGAGGCTTTGTATTTATTAAAAACTATCAGTATAAGCTAAAATTGTCGTAATAAATTTCCTTAAAATGCCTCTATATC